CTCTGATCATGTCACTCCTCGAAACAATGTTTTCATTAATAAGAGGAAGCGTGTCATGCACGCTATAATAATTCACCATCAGTATTATACATTATTGATATGACTTTGAAATGATTAAATGGCGCTAAGTTCGGGAATGACCCGTACCAACTTCAACATGGGCACCAGTGTCACTACCAATAGACAGCCCCAATTAAATCGAAACTTCATGACATTGTTGAAGGGATTTTTGCCTATAAATAGAGGCCCTGGCCCCCGATTTTGGTACTGAATTTTTGAACCAGAGCCGAAACTCTGTTGCACCTAGCACTTAACCTGAGCCCTTAAAACCTTAGACCCAAATCCTAAACCTCGTATCCTTGAACCCTTTGCCTAACGTCCTTTAGATCCTAAACTTCTCCTGATACCAATCATATCCTTGCACACGCGGACTTGGAAGGACCAGCAAAATTTGGCGACCCGAGCACGATCCTAAACCAGCCACTAACGCCAAGTGTCGGGCTCCCAGGCATGGCTTGTGGTTAGCCTTCCTGTCTCTAGCTTTTTACCGCTTTCGGTATATTTCTATTACTCCTTTTAAATCTCCCCCTCTTTCAATCGAAAAACCCTCTTTCTATCTTTCCAAATTCTCTAGCAGATTTTCGGTTGATGCTCCTCACAAGTTTAGCACCGTTAGGAATCCATACGAGGCAGTGTAATCCATACGAGAATGAATGGTATGACGGCCAGTCCTTCCTTTGGGTTACCATTCTATCGGACTCTTATTCTCTACCACCGATCAACGGCTTCGTATAGAAAAACAAGGCGGATATTATATTTGCTCAACCAAATTTTTTGCGTATAAACATTTAGTAATTTATCAGCTTATTTTGATTTAATATCAATAGAAATACATTGAAGCGTAAGTTTTTCTCTTGAAAATTTAATACTTTGTTAACATGTTAGTTATTTTAACAAATCTTCTTAAATGGCTTATTTGTGGAACCATTTTATGATATTTACCCAAAAAATTGTACGCTCTCTCTAGAATACCATGATGATGGCTTTGATGCTCTCGACGAATAACCTAACCACGACCGAAATATTAAATCAAAACATGGAACCCAGCCACGACCGAAATATTAAATCAAAATATGGAACCCAGCCACGACCGAAAGATTAAATCAAACAATGGAACATAGGGCTCCGCAATTGACGGCGTGGATCTTCCACAACCACTTAGCAACACGGATATTGGCCGTCCATCTCGGTGTAGCACCATGCCAGTGGGTCTACCCTATGGTGAAATTTTCTGAAATACCCTCGCTCCCACCAAATGATTTGCAATATCCTCCTTGTCCTTGAAGTACCAAATTCCTGTCTTGCCAAAATACTACCAATGCCTATGCACCCCATTATAGGGCTGACCATGGGCCAGTTGGCAGGGCCCCGGCCCAGCTGGCCTGACTTGGTCACCGCGGCCCTAGAAAACCAGGGCATGGACAAAAAATGTGGTCCGAAGGCTAGGATGGAACCCCTTGGGCTAGGCAACCACACCTAAAGGATAGGGTTGGGCCAATGTGGTAAAGTCTACGATCGTTCAACTTGACTGGGCCTAGGCTAGAGCCTCTCTGGCCCATCTAGGGCTGGGTCAGGCTCAGCTATCCCCGTAAGGACTAGGGCCCGGTTAGGATGCAGGCTAGCTCGGTATATTTGCCACCCCTACACCGAGAAGACGGTAGTCATTGGTACATAGGGAAGAAGGTGATTTCTACTTTCTCAATTGTAAAATCTAAATCTAAATGGACAATTGGAACATCTTTACTTCTTTAGTATTAGTGTTACAAGTTAGTATCTGTCTGATACTGACAAGAGTATTTTAGTTTTAATTTTTATTTTAAAAGTGGTTTAACATAAAGTTTGAGCATCCCCACTCACGTGCACCTAATAAATATAAGAAAAAATTTATTTGATAAATAAAATTTAACCAATGGCCCATTCAACAAGTTACGACGATTTATATAAACTATTAATAAAACAAAGGTAAGTGTGACATTGTGATTAAGTTTACCACAAGTGCCTAATCAAAGATGGAAAAGGTTAAAATAAGGCATAGTCCTCATGGAAAAAGAGAAGCTGCGCCTCAAATCTCATTGAAAATCACAGTTCTAATGTTGAAAACCTCTAAAGTTGATCATCTTGACTTTGACTATTATAGATGTGCAAAAAAAAAGAAAAAAAAAAAAGAGAATTCAAGCCCTAAAAATCGATATATAACATGGTATTTAGACAGTCCATTTTTAAGAATTCACAAATCCGCTAGATCTTACAATTATATTGAGCTACAAAATTCATAACTAGTCGTGGAAATTGGTTTTAGAGCTATCACAAAGATCTCCCATGCCCAAAGTATTTTCTAAACGAGGTTTTAAATGGAGAATTTACTTATTGTCATGAGGCTTACCTTATAAAAATACTTATATTTGAAATGTTAAAGCTATCAACTGTCCATTTAAATCGGGGGCGACTTGTGTTTTTATACACAAGTGGCGCTGCATGTAGAAAATTCC